ATTTTACTCATCAATTAAGATGTCATTTGAGTTAAAATTACTGTTTCAACGTTGACTGATGATTTTATGGACGGAATGCGTGAAATAGAATAACGCTGTAATTATATATAAAGGTTTGTGACTTCGGTTGCAAAACTTAAAGGTTTGTGTGTAATCTGCAACAAAATAAAAGGTTTGGGAGCAGCGCTGCAATTTTTTCGAGTCAAAATTACTGTTGAAACGTTGACTGACGTTTTTATGGACGGAATTAAAGGCTTGGGACCGACTCTGCAACTACATATAAAGGTTTGGGATTTCGACTGCAAAAATAAAAAGTTTGGGTGTAATCTGCAACAAAATGAAAGGTTTGGGACCACGGCCGCAATTTTCCCATTATTTTATTGAAAAAACGTGTAATTGAAAATGAGCCGAGGAAGTGATTTTTGAAAAATCAAAAATGAAATTGAATTTAGAAAATTTATTTTTAATACAATTTTTATTTTTATTTTTAAATATAGCAACTAAAATTTATGAAAGCTTATTTATGAATTAAGTAAACCATTAATAAGCATTAAATAAACAGATTAATTAGTTTTATATGGAAAAGACCTGCCTGCCTTCACGCTCTTTCATTCAAATCTCTCTTTCTTCAACACAGAAACACACTCTTTCTCTATCTTAATCCCAAATTCCCAATCAAATAATTAGAAAATAAAGGAGAAAAGAAGAGAGAGACAGTGAGAAAGAGAGGGAACTTTTCAGAGAAAATCTCTTTTCTTCTCCGGTCTCTCTTGAAGAAATTCCCAAGCTTTTCAATTTCCAAGATGAATGATCTTTTATCAGTAAGTTTTTAAAAAAAATGTTGTGGAATGGAATGTGATGTAATTTATGGAATAAAAGATCTTAATTGATTAATTTGAAATTCGTGCATGCAAAAACGCAGCTGAAGATAAACGAAAATAAACGCTTGGTGGCGAATTTTGGATAGTATATCTAGAAGATAAAGGGAACAATAATGCAGAACGTGTTATGGATCTCTTATATGAAAATTTGAGCTTTTGGATTTAATATTTTGTATTGGTTTTGTATAGGCAAAGATGCTTACGATATATGGTATTTTATTATATTTAATGTACGTGGAAGGGGGTTCATGTGAAGAGTTGGGAGCTTGATCAACTTCTGCATTCACGACAATTTAGATTTGCAGGTTTTAATTCAATTTGAGGCTATTTTAGCTGAATCATTTGATAGAAAATGTAGCTTGGCCACATGGCTTGTTTGATATGATTTTATCAATGTCATTTTTATTGGCTATGTTGCATGTGGTATGATTCAGCCTCTTTTAGTTACAGTTGTTATGCAAATAGTTTGTATGTTCTTTAAATGTGTTGCCATTATTCAAGCAAACAGGTGGAGAAATTAAATCATATTTTTGTAGAGTTTTTATTAGCCCTTATAATGACTTCAGTAGCAGCCTATAGGACTATAAGATTAAGTTGATTAATCTAGAATAGTATAAGTGATTTGTTAACTATCGAAAATGAAGAGGTAGCGAAGTACCTCTTAACAGCTCATTTTGGCTGAATAGATGCTTTAAAACCCATATGTATGCTTCTCATTATGTACCTTGAATACGACTTTCTAATTTATTTATGAAGAGATATTCTGGTGCCCTGATTTCTGCTACTCACTGGGAGATGCACTAAACTTTTGGCTATAGCTTCTAAAACAGTGAATATTCGAGTTAGAGCTGTGTAAGATGTAGGATTGGCATGGAAAGAAATCATTCAGTTTCCATTATCTTGAAGTTTAAAGCAAAATGCTAAACCAGAGAATCCTGCTAACATACATGTCAGAATGATTACAGCATAAACATTTAACATAATTTTGTGAAAATAACAATCCCCAAGTCTTTTTACACACTTGGAACCTATTTCCGGCCCATGACAAAAATATTACCAGCAGTTTTCCTATTGACGTGTCTGACTGCTATGAACTTTCCATCTAAACATTCTGAAAATTGACAACCCAAAAATGAACTTTACATGAAAGACCTTGAAACGAAAGAGTATTAAAGACACAGGTAGGTAGGTAGAGAAGACCTAGGGATGAAAGATACTCTATCTAAGGAACCAGGTAAAATAGCCAGTAGTTCATGACCAGGTCCAATCTAAGTTATATGCTTTTTTTCACAGAATAGGATAGGACTGATCCTGTTATCAAATACCCTTTGAATTTGCACCATTCTTCAAAACATAAGTTTCAAATGAAACCAACTCTTATTTACTATTTGCTTTCTCTCACGTTATCTAGCTTACAACTACTGGATCTTCATTTCTGATTCCACTTTCTGTGCTGTTAATTGCTACCAGCTATGTACATTCCACTTGTCTATTTATTTTGGTGGCTTTATCCTCTGCATTAATATTTGATTCAACAAACTTAGATTGTGAGGTTCAAGCGGTGATTTTGGATGTTATGTCATCATGTTAGGTAATCTTCTATATTTATTTTATTTGTGTAATTTTAGAAATAAAAATAAAATTTAAATTAGTAGTGCCACACTTGGCTGAGAATCAGGCTGCATTTGTATTATTCTTATAGACATTATCTTTCTACTCAACTCTTCTTTCACTTTTAGGGGTAAATCATTACCTTTCTACTTTATGAATCTTGGAAAAGATTGAATTTGGGGTCTCTCCTCAGGCATGTCGGTGCCTAGTTTATAACCTGCAAATGTGAAGTGCACCTTGTAACTCCTTTCTTGGTTTCCAAATGTTCCAAATTAGTGTTTCTCTTGGCATGTTTGCTTAGAGGTTTGCTATCTAGAAGGCTAAGTTGTTTCCTTTTCTTTTGTGCTATTTTTTCAGGGTTCATTTGCGACCTCTAGGGATGGAACTTCCAGAAACAGAGATATTGAAATGGGAACAACGAGACCAATGAATTCAGGAGAACTAGGCCTGGACAGTTTCTTTAACAAGGTGTGCATCAGAGGATGACAAGTGGTGCATTACTTTATTTTGTTCAATTTAAAGTGTTGACTTTCCTCTTATTCCTTGTTGCTAGGTTCATGAGATAGAGAAGCAATATGAAAAACTCAATAAGCTACTCAAAAAGCTTCAGGTATTAGTTTCTCTCCTGCTCCGGTGGTCTTTCGACCCTTTCCTTCTTGGGATTCTGTGTGATTTCTACTGATATAATCACAATCTACTGATGTTGTATAGGAATATCTATCATGTGGATAAGAATGGACATCGTAATTCGTAAATTCTCTCATAATTTCACACTTGAATGAAGAGAAAATTTTGTTCTCTCTAAAGATTGGATCATCGTGACAATTATTAGCAGTTTAAGGCCAATACGTTCAGCATCTCATGTCCTCCAATATTTTTGGCTATCCTGTTTCCCTTTTCTTTTATTTTTGGGTAAATTATTTTGTGCTTTCTTCCTCATATGTCCTTGATGTACTAGGAGCATACCTCCAAGTGGCATATTGTATTCTTAATGATTATATGTGGTGAAACTAATCACATAAACAGAAGGTCAACATTTAATTGGAACTCCCGATGTGGGTTACAGAATGTTTAAGGCTGTAATTTTCATCTCATAATAATGATAAGATTTGCAATTTCACTGCAGGATGCTCATGAGGAATCAAAGGCTGTTACCAAAGCTGCTGCTATGAAAGGTAGCCTGTTGTGGAAGCGTTATGCAATTCTTATAATGAAAATTGAAAATCAGAATTAGATTGGAATAATCTTGCTTTGTATTGATATATGATTGATTGATTAAAAAGTGTACAATACCCCTATATTTATAGGCAAAATTATCCCTAATCCTATTAATAAAAGGAAACTAAAATAAGGAAACTAATAAAATTCTAATCTAATTAAAAATCATATTCTAATCAATAAATAAAAGAAATCATATTCTAAACAAGAAATAAGAATAAAAAGATAAAACCTATTAGAATTAGAAAAGATAAATCACAATTATAGTAGGAAACTATTAATCATGATTATGTACTACATCAGTTTGTCACTAGGGCCATTGCGAGTTGGGGCTTTTTTTAGTCATATAGGCCATGTAGGGTAGCGTGAGGCCAGATGGAGGGTGGGGATATGAAGGATGGAAGATACCATCGCTCGAGAAGACTAGGTACGACAATTTACGTGGCAGGTCGATGACATTGGGATGCATGCGGGTGAGTTTCACATATGCCTCTCTAGTTTTAGAAATATTTGCAAGGCAAAGTGGTTTGAAATATCATTTCCTATATTATGCACCTTGAATATAAGGTATAAAAAACTTACTCAAGCCACAATCAAAGTAAGATATGTAGGTTGAAGATGTTGGCACGAGAAGGTTTCAATTGTCTTAAAATTAAGCTCCACATTCCCATGTGAATGCGCATGGAGACTAGCATTAAAATCCAATTCTATCCATGTGAGTGTTTAATTAGGCAAAAAGAGACAATCTTCAAATGAATGAAGTGGTAGAGAAGAGAATTCAGAAAACATTTAGATTGTTAAATTGCTATTTATAATTTTTGTGAAGATTAATTTGTTAGGTTTCAAAAATTATGAGCCCAAATTAATTGATGATGACCCAAAATTGTTGAATTGTGTGGTGGACCCAATCCAATTTTTTCATCTAATATAAAGGTTTTGGTTTTGATTAAAAACTCATTTGTGAAACACACTTTATCATTTAAATGAGGCTTTACTAGATGGCTAACACGTGGGATAATTAAGGCCATTGGATGCCCTTTTTGGCGTTATCTCATATAAATTGAGAGTTCAACTCTCATTAAGGTTATTGTTCACGAAAATATGTTTGCTTTGTAAATCACCGAAAGTGTACGGTTCGTTAATAAGTAATAAAGTGAAAATNACTTTCCAAGAGAAAATGAAATTTTGCATACCTCCATATTTTGAAATTCTTGTCCTTGTGAAGTTTGATAGTAAAATGAGTATTTTTCAGTCTCCAAATTTAAAACTTTCACTCAAGTTCTCACTAATCTTATAATTTATTATCACTTTGCATACTTTGTTGTTGATGGTGTATTGTGTTCTAAAAATTTTGTTGTGCTTCAAATTGGACTCATTTATAATTTCTCGATAGACTTTCGTTGAGTCCTTGATAACTTTTGTGTATTCAAATTTAGCTGGGACTTAAGGAAACTCTCTAACCACCTGTTGCCGTATTTTAATCTTGTTGAAGCATCCAACATTCATAGCAGTTAAAATCTGCAAGTTCTTATTAGCTTGCTTCTCCATGGATTTGCGATTCCTTTCAAGACTCAACGCAGTCACCATCTGCGTGATGTTATGAAGGGTTTCAAAGCTCCCCTCGATTTGTTGTTCGAGTTTATCGAACCTCTGTTTGTCATCGACGATTCGACTGCCACCAGGACCATCGTCGGTCATCAGATTGAGGTGAATTTCTTGCTCTAATACCAATTTTGGTGCGGAAGCGTTATGAAATTCTTATAATAAGAATTGAAAATCAGAATTATATTGGAATAATCTTGCTTTGTATTGATATATGATTGGTTGTCTTGAAAAGTGTACAATACCCCTATATATATTTATAGACAAAATTATTCCCTAATCCGATTACTAAAAGGAACCAAAATAAGGAAACTAATAAAATCCTAATCTAATTAAAATTCATATTCTAATCAATAAATAAAAGAAATCATATTCTAAACAAGAAATAAAAATAAAAAGATAAAATCTATTAGAACTAGAAAAAATAAATCACAATTGTAGTAGGAAATTACTAATCATGATTGATTATGTACCACATCATAAATGTTCTTATACCAAGTTGATTGTTACATCCGTCCCAAACATCCCAAAAAGCATCATCGTCTACATACAACTCCTTCAAGCATCAAATTTATGAGGGTATATGGGCATCGTTGTTTGTGAGCCCTAACATTATGAGGGTCTCAATAACCTCTCCTAAAGTTTAGGTCTTCAAAATTACTCCTAAACGGTGATCTGCGTGCTTGGTTGCGATCTGGTTGGTGGCGTGAGGCTTCAATGTTGGCGAGCAGTGGTCGCCGACCTTGTAGATATTGGTCATTAACGATTAAGCCCTAGGGTCAATGTTCTTGTGATTTGCCCTATGGTTCTTTGTGATTTCANCTCGATTCGTTGTTCGAGTTTGTTGAGCTTCCGTTCGTCGTCGATGATTCGACTACCATCAGTACCTTCGTTGGCCATCGGATTAAGGCAATTTTCTTACTCTGATACCAATTTTGGTGCAGAAGTGTTATACAATTCTTATAATAAGAATTGAAAATCAGAATTAGATTGGAATAATCTTAGTTTGTATTGATATATGATTGATTGATTAAAAAGTGTACATTACCCCTATTTTTATAGGCAAAATTATCCATAATCCTATTAATAAAAGGAAACTAAAATAAGGAAGCTAATAAAATCCTAATCTAATTAAAAATCATATTCTAATCAATAAATAAAAGAAATCATATTCTAAATAAGAAATAAGAACAAAAAGATAAAAACTATTAGAATTAGAAAAGATAAATCACAATTGTATTAGGAAATTATTAATCATGATTATGTACTACATCATAGACTGTTTCCATTTGATCATAAGTTTGATTTAATATCTGTTGCAGGAAATAAGTTTTACATAATATCTCGAAGCTTCAAATTTGACAAATATATATGATACTAAGAGTAACTTATTTTACTGCTAAGGTGACAAAATCATAGGATCGCCATTTAAAGATCAACCGAAGATATTACTAGAATGGAACATGTTAATTAGTTTGTTAATATTTGGCATCAAATTTATTATTTAATTTAATTTTTACTTGCTTTATTTTTAAATTTTGCTATCTCCCCCTATTTTTTTAGCTCTCACGTTCATCCATCAATTTCGGTGATCGTGTTTCTACCAATTTGTCTTTTAACATAGGTTATTGGTTGTTTGGGCCACTACTCTGTAATTATTAATTTCTTACAATTCACAGCTATCAAGCAGCAGATGGAGAAGGATGTTGATGAAGTTGGAAAAATTTCCCGTTCCATAAAATCAAAAATCGAGGAACTTGATAGAGAGGTGAAACCATAAATTGCCTGTATTATTAAATTTTAGTTCTAAACAGTTCTTGATTAGTGATATATTTATTGTTCTTCATTCAGAATTTAGCCAATAGACAAAAGCCTGGATGCGGAAAAGGATCAGGTGTAGATAGATCGAGAACAGCGACTACAGTGTAATTTTTACTCCCCCATGATGGCTGGCTTGGTTATTGTTATTTCATACTATACTAATATTGCATGGTAAATGTATTAAAATTAGCTGTCATTTTGAGTAGTGTCACATTTTGTGTTATGTGTAGTTTATAGTATGGAGGATTCCTATACCCACTAACTTGAAGAAAATTGAATTGCTGACAACTCTGAAATCGTTGTCCCCATGAGTAGAAGAACTGAAACGCTTGGCAATTTGTTCTCAATAAGAAAAATTTGGTTCACCAAACAATATGCTTGCGCTAGAAAAACAAGATGGATGCTAACATGTTTTTCTTTTCTTATTTTCCTCTTCCTGTTTCGTGGGAGAAAAATTGGCATAAAGCTATAGTTCTTTCCAATAACATCTGTTAACGGACTTGTGTATATGTGTCCTTGCTTTTATTCACAAAATATTTGTGGAAACTTACTGTTAAGGTCATATCAATATTTGTGTGCATATTAAATAGTGCGTAAGGAAGTAGGACGATTGTGAAACTGATTAAGATTAAAATTCAACTAGAACTGGATAAGGTTTATATTTCAATGAAAACTTGATTATTATGGACCATATTAAGAAGGTCGGGGAAATCACTTAATGTGGTCATCAGTCTCTTTTGTTGATTTAAATCTCTCACAGGAATTAAATTGAAGGCATGTATTATGTGAGTGTATGTGAAGGAAGTGATTATATTTGAATGTAGGGCCTTGAGGAAGAAGTTCAAAGACAAGATGTCTGAGTTCCAGGTAAATTAGATGCACGATATAATGGAGTGGTTTCAATTTCTTCCAATTCTTCTTCCCATTTCTCAGTATCTCCTAATATATATATATATTTTTTGTAGGCTTTAAGAGAAAACATCCATCAGGAGTATCGTGAAGTTGTCGAGAGGCGTGTATTCACAGGTTTTAAACCTTATTATACGAAATGAACTTCTGCAACTCTGTGCGATAGCTTCCTTTCAGTCTATTCAATTTTAACCGTTTCTTTTTACATGCGCCTTCAGTGACTGGAAGTCGAGCTGATGAAGAGGTAAAACCTGCAGCCGCATTTTAATTTCTAATAATTTAGAATGTCGTGTATAGGTTTCTCATTGCTCAAATGTTTTGCCTCAGACAATTGATAGATTGATCGAAACTGGGGATAGTGAACAGATTTTTCAGAAAGCAATTAGTGAGCAAGGGAGAGGCCAGGTTTGTTCTACTGTTCTAATTTTTCCTTCTTGTTTTTCTTTCCTCTACCTTTTGCTTATGCTTTTGTTATGTAAAATATGTAGAGAATTTTTGGGTAGATCACTTCTGATACCTACCTAAATATACAGCAACTCAGTTTCACCAAGAAATATGCTAAATTACACTGGGAGTTCTTTCATAATTCATAATAATCATGAAGCTCTTGTTATGTTTACTGGCAGATAATGGACACACTTGCAGAAATTCAAGAGCGGCATGATGCAGTTCAAGACTTAGAGAGGAAGCTTCTTGAATTGCAGCAGGTATTATGGTTTCTTAGTCCTTACAACCATACATGTATACCAATTTTGATGAAGTATATCAATCAACCACTTTGCTGCCAGTTTTGGGAACCTGGCTTTTTGTCCTTTTAATTGCATAGCAATTCTGAGGTTGATTTAAGAAGTTCCTATTGTTTCTTTTCATCATGCTTTTGCTTGCTTGTTTGATTTTCTACCTCTTCATGGTCTACCCACAATCAATCTTTTTTCTAATGTTGTACTAATACTTTGTAAATTAGGCTGTTTTGAGTTCGAATAGAGTCTGGCTTTGCTCTCAGCTGAGAAACCTGGTTTTTTTCCTTAGTGGAAAACCATCGCTTTGACCTATATCCAAGGATGAGCTAGCTGTATTTGAAAAAACATAGCATAAATCAGGAAAAGCTCTAGGGAGTATTATACACGGGTCGTCTGACGCCATAATCCTTTCCTCAGCGTCTGAATGTGCATGTGTGCACTCACTCACTCATGCGCACGCGCGCACAGAGAGAGAGAGAGAGAGAGAGAGAGAGAGAGAGAGAGAGTGGGGGGGGGGGGGGGNGGGGGGGGGGGGGGGGGGGGGGGGGGGGGGGGGCATATTATCCTCTTTGGTTGGACACATTGGCATGAAATCATTTCACAATTCAAAAATGTTGTGCCAGTTAGCCATTTTTTTTATGTCCCAAAAATTTTTAAGGTTTTGATTTTTATTCTGAACCTAGGTATTGACTTATTTATTGCTATATATGCTGCTTTCAAATCCTCTTCCTCCATTTCTTGATCTTCACCTCTCTTCCCTATTTCTATTTTTGCTGTCAAAGATTGTGCAATTGAGATGTTTTACATCGGCACAGTTGCCGGTGTAAATTGTTATGATATGCTTGTGCTGTGCACCATGTGTTCTCCTTGGAGGTGATTACTTGAGTAACTTTGCTGCCCTAGTTATGAAACTTTGAGCTAGAAAGAACGTGCCAGTGATGCAAAGAAAATGATGGCTGCCGAGTCTAATTCATTATGATATTGTCTCGTGCAGGTATTCTTGGACATGGCAGTGCTGGTAGATGAGCAAGGGGACATGATCAATAACATAGAATCACATGTAAAGAAAACTCATCCTCTCGAGACTCTAATTGTGTGATCTCTATTTTTATGGTTCTTTGATCGACTTATCTCTACTGCCGGTTTTCTCAGGTATCATCTGCAGTAGACCATGTGCAGTCTGGGAATGTTGCTCTTCAGAAGGCAAAGAGTTTACAAAAGAACTCCAGGAAATGGATGTGCATTGCTATCCTCATTCTTCTTATCATTGTTGCAATCATTGTTGTGGGTGTACTCAAGCCATGGAAGAGCGACAAGGGTGCTTAGTTCTTCACCTAAGAGTAAAATGTACGAATACAAGAAAACTATTCATATCGTTTTCTTATATACAATCTTAACTATTCTTTTACTTCTGGAGTCAAAACTTAGCTCGTACATGCAAAATTGTATTCAACTTATGCGTATTCTTTTACGTGTATAATGTTTTATTTTGTGATCTATGCACAGTTATTGTTTTAATCTGTACTTTGTATGATTGATTTATCATTCTGGAGGTAATTATATTTATTATTTATTATGCATTAATACCTTTGAGTTCATCTTTCAACATCCATCTGATTCTGGTAAGTAGATCTTGACAAGAAATGTTTGGAATAACCCGTTTCAATTCCAAAATAATTTATAAAATGTTTAATCTACTATTTTGTTTTCAGCTATATGTTAATAGTTATATCACTTATATGAACTACAATGATGCCACAGAAGCTGCAATAAAATGCAATTGACTATAATGATAAACTAAACAGCCTTTTTATAGGTACAAGCACGAGTTTTAGAACCCGTATAAAGATTTCTTCCAAAGCAACTCGAACATATTTGGTATGTTGAACTGGATAGGAATAAATATCTAATAGACTAGTTAAGTTTTTGCGTCTAGTCCAGTTCCTCCAGTTTTAATTTACCAAACATGTCCTCAGACTGTAACTCCTGAAGGACGTCTTCGGAGCTATAATCGTACATATTAACGTACCAAAGATGCCATTAGGCTGAAAATCTCAAAGAACTTCGTCGTAGCCATAACTCGTACATAACCATGTAAAATGCATCGTGATCAACTGGTGAAAGATGCCACTGAAAATGTTCTCTCACCTTCAACACATTCCTTTGTAAAACTAAATGTTCTTCAATGCTTACACCTTTAAGGATTTTCTTCAGAAGAGGTATGTCTAACGTGGCAACAACCACCGAAAAACTCTGCCAGTTTAATATGTCCTGAAAAGGAAGATCATAATGGTTGGCTATTATAACAGGGACACAACCATAGTATAGAGCATCCCCAATACGAGCCGTATTGACTTCAAATCCTTTAACATGAAGGCAAAACTTGCTCGCTAGAAGCTCCTCAGCATACAATGTTTTGAGGTGACCGAAGTGGACAGATATCTCAGAATCATTTCTCCATACTTGAAGAAGCTTTTCACGTACTGGTGAGTTCATTGATCCCGCGAAGAAGGCCAACTTTGTCCTGTATTTATCGATATTAAGTTAGATATCTCCAGCCCATGTAGTATAAGCTAGACAACAACTCATGATTTGGCTTTCACTAGCAGTCTAATATTGTATTTTTAGTTAACTACAAAATTACGTAGTAGTTATACTTTACATTCACATTGTGCTCTTCAAAGGAGTAGTTGATATCTCATACAGCCCAAATTACAACAAAGACAACTACAACGTGGAAACAAAAGTACTGTCTCAGAAACCCACTAAACTCGATTATGTGATGCTTTTACCTTACCAAATTTTAATTTTCTCGAAGACTGCTATTATCATGAGTAGCAATTGTTGAAACAAATTTGTACATCAATACACAGCTCTTATGTGGGGTGCATATCATTGTAAGTCATTCATTTCCAGACAGAAGTATAAGCCACATAAATTTGCACTCCAATGGAAAACTCAATAGAATTAGCAATAGATTGGATTTACAAGTTTCACGGTTCTCGTGAATAATAATTTTGACTTTTGTTATATGGAATTTAATTTTCTAGTAACCTCGACAACAATTAAAGTATCATGAAAGCTTTTCAGATGCCTAAGAAGCAATCTAATTGTTGAGCATACACAATATGAAAGATTGAGGTAATAGATTTAAACATTCTGATTTCATGATTAAGCTAAAACAAAATTTGCGGTTAATGCAATAAAACTGAGAAAAACATAATAGTAGCAGCGTACCTTTCACGAGCAAGATTAGGAGGATCTCCTTTTCTTGGCCAAATTTGTGGCAAGGATGCATCTTTATGAGCAACATACGAAGAGAGGTAATAACTTGACGAGCATACGACTTGTATAGCATTAAGTTTAACTTCAACTGCTTTCTCCATGGCCGAACGTCCAATGGAGTGACAAGCTACATAAAAATGGTCAGCACCTCCAGTTCGATTCCAGTAATGGAATCGGTGACTAATGTTAAAAATATAATCTCGGACAAAGTCTTGGATACCGTCTATTCCTACTCGTGGATCATGTCGCAACCTTGCAATTGAAAATGGTAAAAAGAAGAGATTTGCTTTGGAAGGGTCCTTTGTGATGAAATGACTCTTTGTAAGAACCTTCTTAAAGTAACTTTCACTCGCATAATTACCCTCAGGTTCGAAATCCACAGGCAAAAGCACATTGGCAAAAGGGTCATCTCGTCCATGAGGATAAACATAAATCTTTAAGCTCCTATTCATTTCATTGTATTCATCTAGAAAGACATCTTTATCATGAAACAACTTCTTCTTGTCATTAACATATGTCCCTGAGCATAGAGTCAACAATTCCACAATCAAAAGGTTATCTTGAAAATCCACACTTTTCCAAAGTGGATGATTTTCTTAAGAGATTCCCAACATATCATTAGATTCTCGTTCTTTAAAATCCTCACTTTTCCAAACCCAGAAAACGGATGGGTGATCTCGTAGTTCCTACGGGTGGAGACGATGAAATTCACAAGATCCAAGAATTCATCCCGAATTGCACTAGAGCGCCGTCGGATTAGAAATTCTAGTTCCAAAATAGGGTCCTTTATATCACCATGGGTTCGGGCATAAAATACATCTTAGAACAAACAAAGGAAATACACGAATTTTGGTCAATTCATATGCATTAAGAGATACATCATAAATAATCTTTGTACAAATTAAGATCACACGTTATCTATTCACTCTGTCACTTCCAAGGTCTCATCAAATTCTAAGCTCAGAAGGTTCGTTGTTGAAGTTTTGTATACCTTGAGATACTAGAACATGCAATCAAACGTCAAATTTCACATCTTGAATATGAACTTAAAAGAAATTAAATTAAACTGCAGTTATCAGTCCCTTCATAGTTCATACACACCCTACATATTTCCCCACAAGAATCCTTGTTTAGATAGTTTCAAGAATTCGATATTATCATTCCTTCTGTATGAGCCACCTATTTATTAATTTACATTTCATAAACAAAACAAATCCCCTATCTTATGCACATTTTACATCAAACGATTACGAGAACTAAAAACCTACACAGCTGAAAATGAGAATATAGTAATCTACATGCCCCTACTACTAACAAAAGATAATCAATAACAAATTACTTTCTCAATTGAAGTGAAAAATAAGTCTTTATCAAAATTCTACCAAATTCTCTTTGGTGGCTATCCTTTATCGATTACATAAACATTTATTACACTTAAATGAGAAAAATTCAAGAATCAAGAAAGACCCATAAGGCTGAAATACCTACCAGGTGAGGCCACGTGATTTTTCAATTTCTCTTGACCCTCGGTTTCTTCAAGAAAACCGCCATTTATGGCAAAATCAGAAATTCCGCTGGTAACAACAGGTTCAGGAGGAGCCAAGGTGGAAATTTCAGGCGGGTTTTCAAGAATTACTAAGGGCGTAATTGGAGGGTGGGTGAGATGGAGACGGTGTGGATGAATGAAGAAAAGATTGGAAGTGGAAGAAATGTAAAGAAGAATGAGGAGAGAGGTGGCAAGAGCTAAGGTTGTGGGCATTAGAAAGAAGAAGGATTTGATTGTTTGTGAGTGAGAATTGGAGTCACGGCGGCGAGTGAGGATAGTTTGGAGCAGGAACAATGAAGAACTGGCCATTTCTTGCTATTTGATTGTGTAAAGGGAACGTTAGATAGTACACAATCTATGGCATTCAACCTCAACGAGGACGAGGTTGTCTTGTTTCAGTGTATTGTGTGGGAGGTGAGGTGGGTAGGGTAGGGTAGGGTAGGGTGGTGTGGGTGGTAATTGAGGTAGTTGAAATTTTTGGTTGATTGGATTTTGTTATTTCTACCTAAAATATGATGAATTATATAATATGACGTGGGAGAAAAAAGATTGGATAAAAAAGATATTTGTGTTTTAGTTTGACAAATCATAAAGTGACATGCGACATTATGTAATTCATTAGATAAATCTTGATGTAAGTATAACAATATATTTTATTAAGAATAAGAAGAAGAAAAAATAAGCATAGTGCTTTTTTTTTTTTAATTTGTACTTTTTTATTATGAAAATGCAGTTAGTAGTGATTCCAATTTCATGTTCTCGAGTTGCGGAGAACAATTTGGACAGAGGTTACCTTCAAGGATTCATCTGTCTTACAATCTTGCTTCCCATTGTAGCACGTTTACGAACCTAAAAGAATCATGTGAATCAGATTAAAATTTTCAAATGAGTAATTAAATAGATCGAACAGTTAAATTTTAACATTGGTATTCTTTTTAATATGTCACTTTTCGCGAGATATATTAAAGATAAAATTCCTCACCGTTTTAAAGATGAAAATAATAATCAACGTCGCAGTAACTTTATCAATTAACAAAGAAAAATACACAGCAAAAGTTATCAATTATCATGTCTAGTTTTCTAATCTTTGACGGTCCAAACAAGTCATAAATGTTAAGGGACAAGCTGATTGGCATATTCAGAAGAGGAATACAATAGAATCCCTAGTTGGCTTTGTTACAAAGTGTTTTAGCTTTGTATAAATTGACGTTGACCACAAATTTACTGAAAACTACCTCAAATAAATTTAAATTATAAATAAATAAAAATACGTAATTGATAAATAAATAGTAATTGTGGTCCCTCGAAATGTGTGGATTTTAGTTTGAATTTAATAAATTATTTATAAACATTTGCCAAACAAATATGGGCTATGTCATGTCCCTGAAATTCAGTAGTGTCCACCAAATGGACATAAACTACAATCACAAGTACAGTCCCGTTCTCCTGCCCGCGACGGGCAAGCTTATAATTCCCACTCGAAGAGAACCCAACGTGGGGTTCTCACATTTGGAGAGAACCCCACGTAGGGTTCTCCTGCCACATCAGCAGGTGGGCAAGATAAGCTTGCCCGCCGCGGGCAGGAGAACATTTTCGATCACAAGTAAGCTCAATCTATGTCTTTGAATCAAAAAGACATGAAAGTAACTAGCTAATTCTCATTTTTGCTCTTAATCATTGTTACACAAAGATAAATAGTCCAACTGTACTCTTTCATAATAAAGGTTTGAATTGAAAACCTGATGCCATAGCTACGTTCAACTTTCACTATCTTCTTTTTCCCCTTCACTTCCAATCCATTGCCAAGCATTCTGCTGTCCAACAATTCAACGACAAGCTTAAGGTCTAGTCTTATGGTTAAAATTTTTGCACGGAACTCGAGGTCGAGTATGATGGTTAAAGGTTTGTTGAGGAACTAGATCTCTTGTTTGATGGTCAAGAACTGGATGAGGAAGTTGAGCTGGGTTCTGATGGTTAAGAGTTTGTTGAGGGAGTGGATTTGCATTCTGATGGTTATAAATTTGATGAGGGAATCGAATTCCAATCTGATAATCGAAAGCGTTTGGGGGAAGTTGAGTTCCATCTTGATGGCTAAAAAAATGATAAGGATGTTGACTGAAATACTGATTGCTATAGCGTCTAGCAGCAGCAGCAGCCACGGGTGACAACCAGACATTTGATCCCGGTCTTGCAAAGTACAGGCCATTAGCTTGTGTTGCATGCCATCTTCTGTTCCCATTGGGTGAACCACAAGACACATTTACTGTTGCTTCTGGCTTCTTTTTATTTTTCTTTTTCTTGCGAGTTTTTGTTGACTTCTTGTTTACGGGGTTAGTTGCCACTTCTTTATCTTCGGTATTACCCGATCCTCCAACCTAAGAAAGTTCCAAACGTTATTACTTGCTGAAGTTAACAAATTAACAAGTGTACGTCGTGTGTGTTAAGGGAGGAAAACATAGACCAATTTATAAGAGTTTGGGCTACTCCTCTTAGGGCATGTCTGTTGGAGATTTTCATCAAATTTTGAGAAATAATCCAACCGTTAAAGTCAACAAGTGGGGGCCACCTTAGAGAGGAGGAGTCAAATATGGTGGGCTGCTTTGCTGGGTAACGGACGGAAAATCAATTCTAATTGGTTTGAAAATTCTCCCAGACAAAGCCTTAATGAGGTTGACCTTTTAAGAATGAACCTAAATTCTTAACATGGTATCAGAGTTCATTAAGCTGCAACGAGCAATTCGATCCGATTAAGACTCAAAAAAATTGATCACATGGATTTCAAGATTGGTCTGCTCAAACAAGTCACCATCTTGCGATGACACGTTAAGGATCACATCGAATAAAAATGAAAACATAGACCAATTTATAAGAGTTTGGGCGCTACTCCTCTTAATAAGGTTGACCTTTTAAAATGGAACCCAAAGTGCATACATGAAATGACAAATTGAAGCATATGCATATCCAAAAAACGTTCATGGCATCTCTAAATATGGACCACAAACCTCTGGAGACTTGATGCATTCTTTGGGTGGATGACCTCCCTCTCCACACTTGGAGCATACGGTCTTCAATTGCTCGTTAAATTTTGTGCACTCCTACACAGGCATGCACAGATAAGGATCGGGTCACAAAATATTATTTAGGAAAGAAAGATTGTAAGCCATGTCACTACAAAACCCAAGTGGCCCAACTGCCCACAGTTGAAACAGGAAACATGTCTAGGTCCTTCACTTTTATCGTCAACACAGCAGAGATGACCAAACTCTTTGCAAACATAGCACTGAACACCCTGTAAAGACAAAAGGATTTGCTTATACCATTAATTTATACGAAATGAAATTTTATAGTCACTTGCAACTTCATGAAGGAATAAGCTTCTAGTTTCAAAAAGAAAGAAGGAGATTTTTTCTTGTTTAATTTTTCACGGAAGGGTAAGACAAATTAACATTGATTCGCTCAACAGTAAAACAGCAGAAAACTTTACATCTATGCCTACGCAACAAGAAAAGTGCCGGATTTATTTTCTAGTAACTAATACCAAAACGAGGTTTACAAGTAAATAACATCATTATGGAAGCATGTTTTCCACATACAAGGTTAGTTTACGGTAAATAGAGATCAGCAAGATCAGATTGTGCAAAAAAAAAAATATTGTGTCTTGAAAATCAAATGCCAGAAGGATTTATTACACAAGGAAGAACAAGATAACAATTTTAAGAAGTTCACATGCCTTGAGATCCTCAGAACAATATTCATCAGTACATGAGAACATGTCGTGCCCGGGATTTCCGCATTTTACACAGAATCTATCCTTTTCTGGCTGGTCCATTGGACAGTCTTTGGCTAGGTGCCCTTTGTTAGAGCAAATAAAGCAATTTTTAACCTGAAATTTTTCAATAAGGCAAAGATGCAATCAAATTGTGCAATATTTTAAAGATGTCCAAGGAAAAGAAAAATGAAAATTTGGGTAATAATCACTAATCTAAGCATCCTCAACATTCATTAACAGGTAAGGCTTCCTCAAGGAGGTTTTGAAGATAGATTAACAAAAAAGTGACATGATTCGATTAATTTAAAATCGAAGTTCGCTTCTTTTGTCCAAGATTTTGCTGTAAACAACTTCAAGGATAATTAAGTACATCAAAGTGATTTTCTGCATTAATGCATCATGAGTAAGAAATCATGGTCCATTTTTGTTGTTCCGAGTGAATGTAAAAGTTTCCGAAATGGAAAATCCACCTTCTTTACAAACTAAAACCTTAAGGGTATGTTTGATATGTTCCATTTTTTGGGGAAAATGGAAAAGTTTTTCCAATTCTAGCTTTTTGTAGTGTTTGATGGGTTCCATTTGTTGGGATCGGTGATTCCACCACAAGAGATTAATGGCTTCAATATGAAGTGCCAAAGATCACAAGAACATAAACAAGATTTAAAGTAAAGAAGAATAAAAGAGAACAAGAGAAATTGCAGAGGAATGAAGATTTTATTCAATGACAATAATGGAGAGAAAATACAAGAACTCAATAATCTTGCTTCTAATTTGCTTAACCTAATTGAATAAGAGAGACCCATATTTATAGGGTACATTCACGACCCCTAAAACCCTAGGAAATATGTCAAGTTATGGAAAGAAATAAAGAAACGAAAAAAACGGAAAAACTCGCGCGGCGCCAAAAATATGCCCATGCGACCGCATGGTGCACCACCATGCGATCGCATGGCTGTTGAAAATAGCAGGGACAAAGTCCCTGCATGTGACTGTGCGGCCGCATGGCTTTAAGCCATGCGACCGCATGGTTTCCTTTGCCAGCAGCCGCCACAGGTAAGATGGGTTTCTTTCTATGAATTCCTTTTTAATTCCTTTTTAATTCCACTTCTTTCCAAACAAGAATCCTAACCTAATTTGGGTCACCAACCCAACAATCTCCACCTTGACACAAATTTCGGTGCATCGAACGAAGTTCCAAAAAATTTCTCCACCTGGAAAAATAAATCCGACTGCATCAAAATAAAACAATCTCCTTATTCAGTAACCAAACTCTCCAATTGAATAAAACCATCGCCTCTGCCCAGTGTCCACAAGCGACGCCCGAACCCCATCCCGGGTTCCCAAAATTCAAACAAAGAATTTAACAATCACCAAACAGGGTCGAAGCACACCCTGTAGCAGAATCCATACCCAATGCTTTAACTGAAGATCCCCTGCTAGAATTGCCATCTTCAAACATCCCAAAAGCATGATCAACTCCATCTGAAATCCGGTACCGATGCTCCATAAGTTTTCCACTAGCAAATAACTCAGAGCCCAACACAAAAGGTACTGTACCAAATTGAATGTCCTCAATGGTACTAAACCTGTCCAGATGCCTCCTAACTGGTTCTGCACGCCCCTGCAAGATATATAGCTGAGACCTTTTCCGGCCCTCCAACACAACACGACGATCCTTTCGAACTTTCAAGACTCCACCTCCACCGGCAAAAGTGCACCCATTTGAATCCAAAGTGCTCAGCGAGATTAGGTTTTTCTTTAAGTCTGGCACATGTCGAACCTGGC